TGCTACGTGGTCTTGAGTTATAACTTCCTTTAACCGTCCTCCCACGTTCATATTAACCTCTCGACCTACCTGTCCACACATATGTTAACTTCTCGATTCAGACGTTTGACCACCTTCATGTGACCATTGGTACTACACTTTTACTAGTTTTCGAGCACAACTATTCTCGATCTCGAATATTTGCCACTGGAAGGTGTCCATCTTCATATCATTTTTCGAGGAATCTATATGATTGTTTCGACTTGTTTGTAGTTTTTCGAGTCGTTTGATCTTCGAGTAAGCCCAACACCGTTGTAAAATTATTTATTCTGCAGCTAAGGAAAAGAAGTGAAAACTAAAAAAGAATGCCTTTTGTAAGAAAACCTTAGTTGTATGGTTTATTAATGGTATGTACACATGATTCCTTACATGACTTTTCTTTGGACTCATTTGCCTTGTCTGACTGTGACTCCACGGTTTCATGCAATGTTGTATCTGGTTTATTTGGCGTTTCTTTATTTTCTTCATATATGACCTGCAAAGGTAATTCTTTAACTTGAGAAAAATTTAATGTTGTGCCTTGAATTGCATCAGTTTCCTGACAAAACACACAAAAATGAAACGGTATCAAATTTGCTACAATTTCTATATAAAAACTATTCTTATAAAAGGTCAGCACATATTTTTCACTTACCGTGTTTTCTTCAATCACTTGATGAGCTTCATTATCCTTCAATTGACTTCTTTTTCCCAGATCTCCTCTACATTCTTGACATGCTATCTCCAAACCCATTTTTTGCAATAAGTCATGCATCAGTCTTCAAGAACTTCTACTCCACTAGTTGCCTCAAAACCACAGTCATCTAATATCATTATGACATGATCTTTCCTTTTGTCTTTGAAAAAAAAATGCAATATCTAGAAATATATTTCTTTCTAGATCATCTAATCCATTATAGCTCACTTTTAACACGTTCTGAATCTTCTCATTAGGATACTTGTTGAGTTTTCTTAAAGTACTCTCCCAAAAGTTCAAACTTTTTGAATGAAAATATGAACCCAAAACTTTAAGAGCTAATGGAACACCACCAACATATTTAACTGCACTTTCTGAGGGACTCTCATAACCCTTTTGGGGATGCCTTCTCTATAAGGCTTCCAAGCAAAAAAGCTTTAGAGATTCTGGATTTCTCTCTTTCTTGACCTTGTATATCCAATCAACTCTTCCAACAAGCAATTGCCTATCTCTTGTTATTATAATGAGTCTACTATCACGATCTAGGTTCCCATACTCTCGACATAAAAACTCCAATGAGTCTAAACTATCCATATCATCTAGTACAATGAAAACCTTTTTACTACTGAGCCTCCTCAAAACCATAGTCATCTAATATCCAGCGAATATTCCTTTGCATTTGCCACGAAACAGACATTATCATATTGGGGAAAGAGTTTGGCAAACTAGACTTTTGCAATGGTAGACTTACCAATTCCCCCCATACCCCAAATTCCAATGACTCGAACTTTTTTCAGTAATAATTCTACCTTCTTACAATTGTTTTTCTGTTCCAACAAAGCCTATTAGTTCAGTAGGGTATCTCAGTTGTGGCTTCTGCACTACATCATTGGCAACATTCTCGATGATATGAGATTCGTCCCTAACATAAAAGTTAAACAAACGAGACAAAGGAAAATATTAAATCTATCACGAATGTCAAAAAGTTGCATGCTAAATTAATATCTCTAGTAGAATTTAATTATAATTTTTAATATGCTTTTGCTATAAAGAAATTTAATGCTTAAGTTTTCAAAGTTTAACTCTCAATTTATAACGCTAACTTATAAGTTAACTTTTTTTGTTTTGGTAAAGATAGGAAAGATTACAAAGATGATCGCAATGAGAATTGAACTTAGGTCCTCATGTTTCTAATTATCTCGACCCCTCTCCACCCAACCACGCTCACCCTAGTGGTCTAGAAAGAGGAAGAATTGGTGGTTAGTTACCGATGTTTTGGAGAGTCCCATCAAGAGATATTGGCTGCTTGAGTGAGAGCAGCTTTCCACCTCAACACTTTCTCTTTGTTGGATTCAGTGTTTTTGCCTCCAAGATCTCACTCGTGTCCTCTCCTTTGAAGCTCATAAACACGTGCTTTTTCGTTTAGGAACACATTTGCGACTCTCACTACTCAATGCAAGGACAAGGACAACCTCTTCTTTATTATTATTTACTCGCAATCGTTGACTTCAATTTCACCATGTACTCCACTCCCTAATCCCTATGCCTTTTGTGGAAAAAATTAAACTAACGTCTTTTTCAAAGCAAGTTAAAATACAATTTATATCTTTCATCTAATTTCTTATTAATTCATTGATAGCAGACAACTCGCAATGCTCTCAAAAAGTTGCATTCTTCATCAGCTTACCATAAACCATTATGATCACTCAAGTCAACTCCCCAATGGCATTACTAGCATCTGTTGTACATATATATGATATTTCAAAACAAAAGAGTCGCACATTGCTTGAATCATTCAAGTGTAGAGTCTTTATATATCAAAGTGTTTCTAATACTCCCATAGGGGTAAATAAAGGGTGGTAATAAAGGGTGGTAGGCTCACACACACACACGTAAGAATGGTTCTTGTGAGGTTGTTGTAGTTCAAATCTATTGATTCCCCCTGAGTGTGTGAAAATGGGATCTGTCAATTCTTGCTCAGCATCTTCTTGGGTATGTTGTTGCGGGTCTTGCTTGGAACAGAAGTTGTAGCATTCAACTCTTTTTGTCCTGGATTGAAACCAAATTAAAAAGCCAAAAGGTTGAATATTCAAATCAAGTTTAGAAATTGTTCTTCTACATTTTCATGTGTGTTACTCAAAGGTTGGCTAAGAAAGGTTAGATGAATATATCTAAAATAATCATTCTGGGGGGCATTTGGATGTTGTAAAAGATGACTTCATTATTTTGTAATATATCTCTCCGTCACATTATTTATTATTTTTATGGATAAATGGTCAATTTAGTTCTAGAAATTGTCACCCATTGTCATTTTAATCCATGAATCTAATTTTTTTTTTTAAAAAGTCTTTGGAAATGTAATTTGTCATTAACATTAGTCTCTCCATTGAATGAATTCCATTTTCTTTAGTAGAAGTGTTTACATGACAATATTGTGTCATGTGTTGTATACGTAGATGACACGTGGCACATGTGTGGTGACACTGATTATATAAATGTATCACGTCATGTGAAGTATGCTTATCATGTGGTATAAACTATAATGCAATGTCATTTTACCTTTTGAAATTGTAATATTATGTCATTATAGTTTCTGAAAGTGTAATATAATATTATTTTAATCTTTTAAATTGCAAGACAATCAATTTAGTATCTGAAATTGTAACTCCATATCAATTCAGTTCATATACATTAATATAATTTTATTCTACTTCCTAAAATTGCAACTCAACATTATTACAATCCCTAAGCACTTTTATAAATAAATAAAATAAAATAAAAAAAGAAAAAGGGTAAACACAGCATATTTAAGTCACTAAAAGTATATATCACTATCACTTTAGTCCTTGAAAGTAAAGAAATTATGAATAAATCCTTGAAAGTTATAATTGTTTCATTTAAGTCTTTAAAAGTAATTATTTATTGTCATTTTAGTCCCTAAATATACATTAATATTATCATTTAAGTCATGTGTTTTATTGAATTGTAAACTAAAGTGAGTAACATTTTACATTTTCAATAACTCTTTTTAAATTTTTATACTTTTGGTGAATAAAATGTCAATGACATATACTTTCAAGTATCCAAATGGTGTTTTAAAAAAAAAAACTAACTTAATGGAAGGAAAAAATGAGTCACATATAGACTTTTTTTTTATTTCATTAAATTCATAAATTGAAATGACAATTTTAGAGACTAAATTAGTCATTTGCTCTACTTTTATTAATATTAGAGAGAGGTAAATATAAAAATGATGTTATGTTGTATCAATTATTTTTGTAGAAGTATATTTTTTTTTGTTTAATAAAGCTTTAGTTATTTTATGCATTACTTCTAATGCATGGTTGTTATTTTATTCTTATTTTTAACTTTAGTTTCTTTTACATTACTTTTATTGCTTTTCATTTATTTTCTTTCGATTTTAGTCTACGTTAGTTAAATTCTTTAAACCTATTTTAAAAAATTATATGTTGGGGATTTGATTCTAAGGCCTAAAATTTCAATTAGAAACAAACAATAGTTTTAACTTTTGTTATAAAAAGTTATTCAATGTTAACATTTATACCTTATAGATTTTTGACACTTTCAAGAGAGATAGAGGACTAGGTTTGCTAACATGAAAGAATAATGAAGTTGTTGACTGAGTCAGAAGATTTTTAGTTTAGGAAATCTATTTTGAAATTTTATATTTGTGACACCCTTACTACCCCAACACATATATAAAAAAAAATTTATAATACATTTAAGAAGGTTAAATTTTCTAAGTTGGTAAAAGGGTTCACATAAAAATTCGACAATCACATTAATAGAGATATAAAACATAAAACACGAGAGTTTTACAAATTGTTTTCAAAACAATATTACAGTGCCAAATACACATAAATATTTCATCCTAGAAATCCTCTGCCCCGATGTCACACTATCAGAGCATTCCCAGAATTTTAACTGTTGGCATCCTAGAAGCCACTCGTAGCTGGATCTTCTTCTCCTAAAATATCCACAGTTTATACGGTGAGAAAAGAAAATATCTATATGCAAAGTACATACAAACACATCACAATATAATCTCATAATAACTCATTATTTAATAAAATATTCATAAGCATTTATCTATATATATATATATTATTTATTTCAAGCAATTGATCGAGCTGTGCTTGAAACGATTTTGAAGAAGGAGACGTCGAAGGAGATTTGGGATTCTTTAAAACAAAAATACCAGGGCACTGCTAGAGTAAAGCGAGCACAACTTCAAGCCCTCCAACGTGAATAGGAGATTTTGCAGATGAAGAACGGAGAATCAGTTAATGACTATTTTCCTCGAACTCTCACAATTGCAAATAAGATGAGGATGTATGGTGAACGGGTGTCTGATTTTAATGTCATTAAGAAGATTCTCTGCTCAATGACCTCAAGGTACAATTATGTAGTGTGTTCCATTGAAGAATCTCATGATTTGGACACCATGACTGTAGATGAACTCCAAAGCAGCTTGTTAGTTCACGAGCAATGGATAAATGGCCACAATGCGCAAGACGAGCAAGTGTTAAAGGTTGCGCAAGATGAGACAGGTGCTAGATGTGGACGTGGAAGAGGAGTTTTTCGAGGTGGAAATGTTCAAGGAAGAGGTAGAGGTAGAGTGATGGAATCATGCTTAGGAAAGCAAGGGGTGACATATTGAAGGAGCCAAGAGGAGTGGGCTAGACATGGAGGATTGGGACAGTCAAGGCCCAATGGGCCCGATAGGGCTTGAAAGGCCCAAGTTGAGCTTCTCATGGGCCATATCTTGTTTTAGCTATTTTCTTATATCTTGTATATACCATGTTAGTATAGGTTCTCTATATTTTGGGTCTTGTATTTTGGACCATATAGGATAACATTTTAGGCTATAGGCTTATTGGGCCTAGTTTTGGGCTTCATGGGCCTTTGGGCTTTTGGTACCCAATATTGGGCTCATTTTCATTCTTGTAATTTTTCCTTTCCATTGTATTTGCTTGGCCATTGTATTTAGGTTATTAGAATAGGAATTTAGAAGGATTAAGTATTAAAGCATGAATCATAGAATGTTAATTACATTTAAGAGTAATTAGAGTTTCATTTGAGTCACATGTTTTGTGCCAAAGGTGGCTGCACATGTGTACACTTAAATGAACCCTAAATTACTTCTAAATGCAATTAGAATTCTAGAAGGGTTGGCTGCACATGGCATGTGCAAGTGGACGTTCAACTTTGAATTCAAATTTGAATTTGAATTCAAATTGGCGCCACTTTTGAGTGCACATGGAATGGCTCCAA